GTTATCCTTGCTTTCTAGACACATTGACTGGTTGGATTTACAAGCCTGCAGATCTTTTTAAAAATAAAGAAAGAGCTATATAAATTGAAGGTCAGTCTTTTTTACAAATATAGATATGAAAATAAAGAACAGGCACTTCTTATTTACAAGGGTTACCATATCTGTACCTTGGCAACTGCTAGACGTTCTCAAATCATCAAAACTGATGTACGCCCACTGAGAGTCATCACCCTCGTCAACTATCCTTATCTGTGCGAGTTGTCCTATGTAATGACTTGTATTCCAGGATTTCCGTACCAGTGCCTCATTACAATTTCCAGCTGTCTTTAATTTTACCAGGCCATTTATCAGTAGCTCCACTCGTGTTGTAGAAACATCACATCCCCCTGTAATTATAGTTAGCATTGATGGTATCTTCTCGATCATTCGTAAATGAAAAAGGAATGGGCGAGTTCTTTTCTATCCACACCCATTGGGCCAGGGTTGCAATTATTTTTCTAATATAAGAATCAACTTCATTTTGTAAGCTACTCAAAGGAACTTTCATGTCAACTTTATTTCCTCAATTTCCCGGCCCACGAAAAATATTCGCTACGAGGATAGTAATGTAGTTTTGGATATCTCAAAATCAGAAGAGGAGTTGTTGTTCGATTTTCAGCAATATGATATATTTCATTGGAATACAGCTTTATCTGAGGGAACAAATAAATGAACCCCAGTACCCAAGACAGCCAATTTCAGACAGCTCGAATTTTACGTCTTATGCAAGGGCTGGTTTTATTTTACTAATGAAAATATGAAATTTTTGCAATATCTATAATTTGCTATAATACTGCTGAGTCTCCTTCAATCACGGTTCGCGTCATCTCGTTATGTAAACGTAGTGCCGTTCCGTCGAACCTTTGTTCACATGGTTCACCAGCATCCCTTTCGAGCTTTTGCTCATGTTTGGAAATAAAAATACATCGTAATATAAGCAAAACTTATTCCGACTTTATCATCCCTTTATACTATATGAATGGAAATACTGTAAGATTCGACCTTTAAACCGATGGATGGAAATTTGAAGTCACCTCATTTTCCTCATGAAAAATCTAAAACAGGAACGCACTGAATGCTGGYGGACTATGTCCTTTTAAAAGAATTTGAAGGAGAACCGCGAAGAAGACTATATGTCAATCACACCCACCTCCAATCAAGAACGTCAGACTGGATGCCCGTATTTCAAAATATGGTGACKTCAATGTACCCTTGGCAGCGACTTGGTAACCCGACGCTAGACAAGGTGACGTCATATTGATTTTGGAATTGATATACCAGTTTCCATGGTGATGTGATGATAGGCTTTTTTGATGTATAATTGGAGAAGATTTGAAAGCATCCCCAGAAGACGTCCATCCTTCAAGTGGGTATTTCTCAAAGTCGAAAATAGAACATCCTGCTGAAAAAAGACAATTATAAACAAATTCCAAGCGCATTGTTTTRCTAAAGTGGTGTTTGCACATTGACGTATGTCGAAGAACCCAATTTCTAACTACTGACGTCAAATTCCAGTCTAATTTGCATTTCCTTTGTTCATTAAGGGAGTTAAACAAGAGAAAAACGTCATTTTAATCAGTTGAACAGTACGTGTTTCTAGTAATCATTTTATCATTTTTCTTTAAAGCGGAAGCCCACCCAGGTTTTCTATATCCGCCTCCGGTTATTGCAACGAAAAGGAAWATGATCCGTTAGACTTGACAGAAAAAAATATACGGGTTTGATGAAAKGAAACGGTAGCTAAGTTTTCTTTGAAAATAAAAACAAAAGTGAATCTCATGATTTGAAGAAAACAGTACAGCCGAAGAAAACGTAATTGTATCATCTGAAAATTCTTAGCTGCAGTAAGAATCAATGCATGTTGAGAATGGTTCCAATCCATTTTAAATGAATATTTCCAATTACATTCATTGGTTTTCCTCCATTTTGTAGAGCTAAAAGTACATATAATCTTGCGAGCGAAGTATATTATCATTACATTAATTACTATTCGAATAATGAACAAGTACACAGCCGAAAAGAAGAATAAGACGAAGGATAATAATTGAAAGCGCACATTTTCCAATGCAATTACGGTCTCCCTTTCTTAGTTGAGTCTAATTAGTAAATCTTTAAAAAAAGCAAAAAATAAAATAAATAAATAAAAACAAAAAAATAAAAAAAAATTGAAAAAGCTGAAWAAAGTCTGCGCTATGCAGTCGATATATGCAAATTCTCCAAAAATCAAATATTTACTTGTGAAAAATATCTTTTTGCCAAATTTGACGGAATAACAGTGTGGTATGTTTCATTATTTTTAAGTTTTTTTAATGCTGCTTCGGTCAACTAATTCATATTCTTACTAATTATCTATCATATTTTAAGGCTCCTTATGTTTAAACAACCAGGCAGGCAATTATAATTAATGCCAATTACTTTTTTAGCTATTAGTTTTTAAGCTACCTACAAGAGCTTAGGTTAATAGTATTTTCGATGAAACTTGTCCTCAGTGCTGTCTAACTCAATTTCCAGATGCATTAAAGACAGGGAAAACACGGATGGCAGTCGACATAATTGACAACAAAACGGATCAGCAAATATACAAGCGGACATTAGACAAGGGYTTGTCTACAATATCTGATTACCAAAAAGTAAGTGCTTTCAAATTAGATTCTGGCGAAATCTGTGAATATAAGATTTGTTTAAAATCCTTTCTGACACCTTTTTTCCGCCTTAACAAATATGTAATTGCTTGAATTTTGAAACTCGAGTTTTTCTTAGGTAGTTGACTACAGTAGTGTATGTTTTCAAAAACARACGAGACAAGAAAACGTTTAGATTTTCATTTCAAGAAAAACTAATCCACGACTAAAGAATAAAATAATTTGCTATTATGATATGATTGAGTCTTTTAAACCTATAGGTATGCAAAGGGCTAGATCTAGTTCTTTTAAAACTAGCTCCGTTATTGCTAGAATAACGAAATAACTGAAGGAGGTCAATCAACGCACTAAGCGACAGATCATTATCATGCTTCCCGTTAGGACAATTTTGCAAGTGTTTCTGTTCTTAAATCTAATATATTAGTTTCTGCAGACAACAATAAACCTTTTCTTGCTATCCTTCAGGCACTGTTGCCGCCAACAAAGAAGATTTTTTTTTGATCATTAAAGAATGACAAACAAGAGTCTTGTATACGAAAAGTATGATCAATAACACTGAGACAGTGTGTTCGATTTTATAACGTATGTTGAGACCTTTATTCACCCTAAGAACTCATGAGAATTCATGAGATGTCGGCATWAAAGTGAAGTATAGAAAATAGCATTTTCGATTAAAAATATGACACATTTTCAGCGCATTAAGTAGATATTGATTGATGTCAAATAAGAAATCGCAATTGAATAAAGAAGGCAGCTTAAAAAATAGTACATCTGAGCAACATAGAAGCGTTCCATTTTCTTAAAATAACTTTAATATTTTTTCCTAGTTTGTAATTGGCTCTTGATAGTAGCGTTAAGCCTATTTTWATAACTCCAAGCCCAAAATGTGTTTACTAGTGATTAGGTGTTTTAAGAAATTACATTACATTGATACATCGCCCGTTAGATGATGTAAATAACATTTCTTACCTGAGGGAGAGAGCATACCATTGCTTTGCCTTATCCCAGGTTTTTGTAGAAAGTCAATCAAAAAGAAATACAATATAAAAACAAATTTCACATTGGTCATATTCYTGCTAGAGCAAAATGTTCTGATCTATTTGAGATGGCAGCAGGATAGAGTTG